TCTAAGCAGGCAGGGCAGCTTTTGCAATCCGCTTGGAGGAATCCTGTCATCCATGGGGATCATGTTTCACCTTCCCCAAAGTGGAGGGACACCCAGAAGGAACCATGCCAGGCAGATCTCTAGTTTCAGAAACTCTCCCTTTAGCATTACTAAGGGAGAGTTTCTAATGCCAAGAAGATGCTACTGGGCTTCCGAGGGCTGAGGCACTCTCCCACTTGGCATCCTGTATTTTGGAAACAATGGCAACAGCCTGTGCCTCTTACCATGTTTCCAGATAAGTGTTCCAGGAAGAAGTTTCTATCTATGTTCCAGTGCATGATTAAAGACATACTTTGAGCTAACACAGCACATGCCAGGTTTTCTCCGTCCACCAACAGCAAAAAAAAAAAATCTCAGCTCCTGAGTGTTTCTTATCTCCTGGTTGTTTATAATCTCTAACACTAGTTTTTGTTTATTTAGCTCTTAAACGCAGACATAAAAGGCAGGGTGAGCAGGACTGTCTCTCTATTGATGTCATCAGGGGATACAACAGCTTTCACCACAACTGAATTTTATTAAAAATCTATGCAACTATATAAACATTTGCTTTTTTAACACAGTAAATATACATCAGTCTGAGTCCCTGCAGGAGAGGGAAAAGTTAGTTCTTATTTGTTTTCTTACTTAGGTGGCACAAGTAAACTCTTCAGTAATGTAGGCTATGTGCTCTAAGAGTGGGAGTTACTTTTTGAATTGAAAGAGGCAAAATTTAATTGCATTTTTTGATTGCCTGTCACTTACAAATTATCCAAGGATGCGGTCAAGTTTGATACAGTGCTATGCCTCATTGCAGCTCTGAATGAATGTTTATGGCTAAATAATACATCCCTGGATAACAGATTTGGAATATTGACCTTATGGTGCAAACTGTTTCTGTAATACAAGACAAATTGATGCTCGTCTTTCATTTTGGTGTTTTGGGGGTTTTTTGTTTGGTTTTTCATTGGGTTTTTTGTTTGTTTGTTTGTTTGTTTGTTTTATTATTAATTTAGAAAAAGCTATATCTCAATTTGTTAACCTTTGAGAAACTTAATCATTAAAAAACAGAAAGCAATTTGTAAAATATGTTGTCAACTTCCCAGTGGCCAAATCATCCTTTTGGGAACCTTTTGTGTAACATGAAGTTCCTTCAGATTTCCAAGTCATGTATGAAAGGTTGGCAGGAAAGTAGGAATTCCTCTGCATGAAACATTTGAAATTATCTGAAAACTTTTGTCTCCTCAAAGAAAGAAATAAAATTGTTTCCCATTAAGAAAACAAAACAAAACAAAACAAAACAAAACAAAAAAGAAAAAAGAAAGAGAGACGGGGGAGAGAGACACTGCAGCACAGACTAGCCAATGGTGATTAAGGCATCTGCAGATCAGATAGTGCCCTGGTCTGCCTATAGCAAAGTGGAAAGGCTCTTTCTGTTCCAGTCCTGAAATCCCTGAAACTGAGATTCTGTCCTAGGGAAAGTTTTGACAAATAAATTAATTTCTGTGGAAAACTTTGATGTCAATGGCAAAAATTTCACTGTAAGAAATCCTAGTGTATAGGAGCTGTACAAGGACCTTAGCATCTTTGTTAGCTTTCCTTAACCCTGGAGAACCCTACCTGAAAGATCTGGAAGTAAGGTCCTTATTACTCTCCAGTATTCACCTTTTAATACATTTCTATCTTCTTGTTTCTTACATATCCCCTCTTCCCAAATACCTTGTTCATATGGCATTGAAAACAAAAGGTAGGACTCCTACAAAAGCCTTGAACTCTAGGACCATCCACCATCATGTCAGTTATGGCCCCAGATCAGAACTCCAGCTCTATTCAGAAAATACATACCCAGTTTCTGCTCTTAAATGCTTTGTCTTATCTGGGGCCTTTGTGTGTGACCCTCCAAACCTTATACATACAAGTAGTCTCTGTTGTCCTTAGATAAGTAACAGTTAACTGCATGTGCATGTAAAGGTTGCAAGGTGAGTCCCCTTGAATATCATTATCCCAAATATAATAACTGCTTTGCTGAAACTCACATTGTCTTTCCAAAAACAACCCATATTACTCAACAGAGAATTCTGGAGGAAAAAAAATGCAACCATTTGAAAGCAGGCAGAGGTCATATGAATGCTGCCCAAGATTTTTGATTGAGTAACGTACTTTGGAATAACTTGCTGTGATTCTTTGGCAGAACACTGTTTATTGTTCAAGTGAAATTTTTCACAGTTAATAAGATGGTCAGTTGCAGGTATTGAAAATATTTGCCCTGCCAAATACCACAAGAGTGAAAACCTTCAAGCTGGTTAAATAATGAAACAGAAATCATTCCAACAAACTCCTTGACAGCTGCTGGAGAAATTTCCAGAATGACCCAAAATGAAACTGTTTTATTGAGTAAAAATAAACAAACAGAAAAAACATTTCTAAAGAAAATTAATATGATATTTTGATTATATTATTTGTAAGGAACTGTTTGACAGAGCAAAACTGCTTGATGGATGTTGTTTTTTTAAAGAGGATGCTATAGTTTATCCAGATATTTCTCTATATTCATAGACTTCTTTCCATTGGCCACATGATATCATCAGTTTTTAAGCAGATTCTCCAGTGATGTTCATGGAAAATTCTGCTTAGAAAGCTCTGGTTAATTCCTTCGGCTTTGCAAGCAGAGAGAGTATGAATCACAGCAGTGAAGCTGAATTTGGACAATAAAACCCAAAAAATCCACACGAATGTGTAATGATTCAGGAGCAAATACTGTTTTCAGGAATTAATATGCTTGGCCTAATATGGATGAACCCTTGATGTTACTGAAAATACAACTCAGCTTTTTCTGACACTGTTTGCAAATAATATTCACATATCCTACCCCCATGTTCTGTAAGGCAGAAAAATGTTTTTCTGACAAGGGCACATCTGGATTTTGCCTACTTCCAACAATCTGAAACACATCTTTGCTATAAATTACTAAAGACAAAGTAACACTTTCACTAAAATCTCATGTAAAAAATGCACTCAAATTCTGTAATTACTTAAGTACAAAAAATACACAGATGTCCACATTGTTTTCATGAATTTCAGGGAATGAAAATGGCAATAAGTAATTCTCTTCTTATCATGGAACATGAATAAGTATCTCAGAGAACCTAAATCCAAATCTGATTTGAATTTGGAAGGACTTAGCAACAACAGCAGCAGCAGAAGTCTTGTAAAGTAAAGTATACCCAGCCAAGAGTGAATAATGCATTACCCCAACAACCAATCCTCCCTTTCCAGTGAAAAGAGCAACTGGACTCTTACACAAAGCCTGAACTCACTGTTTACATCCTGAGGCTAGAAAAAAGAGAAGACATTTAGCATACACTAGTTCCATGGATAAAGTATCTATACTTGGTAATTGTGTGTGTGTGTGTGCGTTACTTAATCTGTTTCCCACCCATTACCCTAGGAAAAAAAAAAAAAGGACAAAAAAGTATGAAGTGGGAAAAACATTAACTACAGTGTGGGTAAAATTCAGATCAGCCGTCTATGCCACAGATATGTTGTGTTCAGCCTACTTACTCAACGAATGTGGCTAAGATGCTCAGGAGTTTCCAGTATACCCACCCACTTGAGATAAGATTGTAAGTACTGTACTTGGGACTGCTAAATTTGCAACCAGGTTAATTGTGTACAGCATCTGGGAAGCCTCAGCGGATTCCTGCAGAGACGTTGGTGTTTATTCGCGGTGCTGGGAAATCAAGTCGTTAAAATAGAAAGCAAAACCAGGGACAAATACTGATGGTTCAACGCGAGTGAGTAGCCCCGGTGATAAAAGGCTCAGGAGAGGATGCCAGGGCTCGCACGAAGTTTTATCGTAAGAGGCTTTGTGGAACTGTAGCTGCTTATTCCTCAGATCACCCTCTGAGAGAGCGACAGAGCCCCGGGAGGAGCTCCCTCGCGGGTGGTACCTCTGCGCTGCTGGCCCCGGGCAGAGCCCCGCGTTCCCCGCCGCGGCACCCGCTGCAGACTCGCGGTGCCGGGCAGAGTTGGCCGAGGTACCGAGTGCGGCCCGCGGGGGATGGCGGCTGGCAGAGGCTCCGTGCCCGGCAGCCGCCGCCGGGGCGTCGCCGCCCGCCCGCAGCGGGCCCGGGGGCACCGGCCGGCGGCCCCGCTCCTCCCGCTGCTCCGCCGGGCGGCCCGGGGGGAAAAACCCGCTTCTCGTCCTTCTCTGCGAGGGCCGGGAGCGGCGATCGCCCGTCCGGGCTGCTTAAAGCGTGTCACGTTCGACCCTTCCAGGTGCTCGGAAAACGGCCACACACAGGGTTAACAGCATCCCCGGTCGGACAGTATGTGTTTAATATGCGAGCGTATTTGATGTTCATTGACAGAGCAACAATAGGAATTATCTTGCTTTATGTACCAGTTACAAGGTTTAATATCATTATATTGCATGCAATATTAGTTTTTATTAGTCGCCATTAACAAGATGTTTTCTACTCGAATTCTCATTTACTTGTTCAATGCAAAAATTTTCTTTGTAAAAGAGAAAAACACATCTTCAAGTGTCAGCTATATTAAATTAAAGAACTGTTTACCCTTCCTAAGGAAAGCATATGTATCTAAATAGGCATCTTTTACCGTTTGCATAGTAGATTGGAAATTAGCATTTTTGTTCATTTTCCCATGTATGCACAGCGCCTGGAAGAGTAATACTCCATGCATATCAGATCAGCCAGCCTACAATTTTTGTGCAATATATTATTTGGCAATCTAAAATTTGTAATTTGCATGAAATTGCTTAATTAAAATACAGTCACTCAGGGTATTAATTTCTCTGTCTGGCAGTTCAACGTACTAAAGGCGGGCTACAGAAAATGTGAAATCCTGTCAGATGTAACAGTAAAATATTAGCAAAAAAAAAAAAAAATCCACTTCTGGCAACAAAGTGACAGAGTGATAATGCTTTTGCCCTGATTCTGGGTTCAAATACGAGCTTGGGTTGACATTGAAACCGGCGAAGAAATTTACAATAGCAACTCTGGCTTTTTGCCAATAAATCTGCATCACGGACCTTTCCTGGTGAGACCCTTTTCCCTCTCCCCACCCCCTTTACATTTTTCCCTACTAGCTAAGACAGAGAAGAAAAAAAAAAGTCTTTTTTTTTTTTTTTTTGAAGCCCAAGTCCCTTACTATTTTTGGCAGTTTGCTTTTGAAATCAGCAACCCTACTGATAAAATGATCCAATCAGTCCTTCCCAGTTGTCAAGACAACAGTTCATAATTGTACCAGCTCTTTCCATTGCAGCTAGACATTTCATAAATAGATAATTCTCTAATTGATCCAGCCAATCCTACTTTGCATACCCTGCCAAACTAG